GGGAGGGAGAGCGCGGGCAGGGCGGTCGGGAGGACACGCGGCACCCGGCCCTCGGGGCGCTGCTCTGGTCACTGCGAGTCGCTGGATCTGCGAAGCTGCCACACGGCCTCTCGGCATCTCTCTCCTCTCAGGCCCGTGGCGTCCCCGCCACACGGAGGCTGGTGTGTTCCAGGCGCCTAGGCCTCGGCTGCCGGTGGGGCGCGTCCTCTCCCCCGAGCCTTTCGCTGTTTTCACCCCTGGACTCCAAAGGCCCCGTTTCTGTTTCGTCTCCCTCGCTCGCTATTTCCTGCTCCCGCAACCCCACCCCCTCTTTTTCTAAGGTTCCTTCGGGGCAGGTGACCCCAGGCGGACAGTTCTGGCACACAGGGGGGCCGGCGACGCTCCGGCCGCCCCGACTCCTTACGGGGCACCCTCGGGGGCGGCGGGTCCTCGGGCTGAGGGGTAGAGTGCGTGGCACCGGGACAGCTGGCTCTGGGCGCGTCCTGTCCTTCCTGTCCCCAGCGCTCACGTTTCACACAAGCAGGCTGTTATCGGTAACCTCGCACTTGTCAACGCTGCTTCACCTGAGTTTGGGGGAGTCGTTTTTATAAAAAAATTAATTTGATTCATAATTGTAGCTCTTTTGGGGAAACTGAGAACTGAAAAGAATGCAGGTGGAACTTTTCACTGAGAGTCTACCGGGCTAATTAATTGGTTAAATTATCAAAACCTTACAAAAACACGGAAACATAGGTATTTCTAGCTTCATGGTAATACATGGACTCCAGACACTGAGGGAGGAATTACTTGTCAAAAGTTGCAAAATTTGCAAGTCGTAAGAACAAGGCTGTTGGCCAGCCCTGATTTTTTTCTTTCATCTGAAGCGTATCGCTTGCTCTGATCTAAAAAGAACAAGTCTCGAAAAGGCTATTACATGAAAAATTTACTAATTATCATTTTAAACCGTGAGATTTAATTACCTAATGTAATTAAAGGCATATATTAATACGGCCAATTCTTATTCTTGAAATTAATTACAAATTGATATTTAATGTATAATTATGTAAAAGTTATTAACCTCATTTTTCAAAGTCTTTTCTTTTAGGCAAATCTCTGAATAGTGATTAAATAAACATATCAGCAAAGTCTGTAACGGAAAACAGAAGTATCACAACCGCCACCGGTGCGGCGGTTCATCGTGAAACCGCAAGTCCCTCGCTTGAGTCCTGGAAGCGGCCAAAGGAATCTGTTCGCCGGGATAGGTACATACTGTCCCGTGGGATTCCAACGTCACAGTCGCCTCCCTCACGTCGCAGGTAGATTACAAAACATGTCAGCTCCTTGCAGTCAAGGACAAGACGCTTTCCATCGTGGGGCCCGGGCCTTGGAGGTTGGCTCAGCCCCAGAATCAGAGAAGGAAATGGGCCTGATCTAGGACCAGCAGCCGGTGCCGGTCCACTCGGGGCCCCCGGGACCCGCTTCGCTCCCGCTTCGCTGCACGCGTGGGGACCAGCCCCTGCACACTGAGGACACCCGGGGTCCACCACCTGCTCAGCGCCCGCGGGCGGCCCCCGGTCTTTGGGAGAAGGTGCGGCAGGCTCCCTGCGGCTCATCAGGACGGGGTCCCCCCGGTTAGGTCAGCCTGCGCCTCCCCAGCGCCCGCGGCCTCCCGTCCGAGAGGAGACGGGGCGTTTCCTGCAGTCCCAGGTTGCTGGGTCCTTCAGAGGTGAGATGGGACCTGCCCTGGCGGGAGAGGGTGGTCTCCGACTAGTTCTGCTTCTGCTCTTGGGAAGGAAGCCTTCCTCCGCGTCCCCGAGGGCCCCGGGCTATTCCTAATGGATGGGAGTCAGTGTTCTTCGACCACACTTGAAAGAGATCTTGGATGCCATAGATATTTTTAAGTCAGAGTCTTAGAAATTGGACTCATTGTTCCTTAGACTATATAATTCCTCCAGAACTTAATGGGCTTCTGATCCATTAGTTCCCTGTCTTTTCCTGGTGCCCATAACCATATATAAACGCTTCTGTAGCCATATTTTTTAACTCTGCATCATTTCTTTGCATCCTTGCCCAGCATTTATCTCTATTAACTAAATGGCTGTACCTTCAGGCGAAACTAGTTTGAGTGGAAAAAAATAAAAGCCTGAATCTTAATAGGTCTTTGCTGTTTTCTCAGATTTATTTCCCTTTTCTTTTGCTTAAAAGCACACACATTTTCTAAGACTTCAGTGCCACAAACTCCCAGGCTATTTTCTCCCCCGGATCCCTCTCCTTTTCTTGCATTGCGTCCAATGGTCTCCGACGTTATCTCCTTCTTGCCGAATATGGCTGATGGCTGTCTACGCACAGTAGGGCTTTAATTCTTTCCAACCGCTCCCCTCGGAGCTCCCGGCATGGACCTTCTTCCAGGCCATCGTGGGGCAGGTGTCACCAAAAGTCCTGCCCCAACGTGCCCTGGATCCTCAGTTCTCAGCTTTGAAAGTCCGTCTCTTCACTGTCCAGTCCCTGAGCACAAAGTCGATGTCCTGGGGCCAAGGCTTTTGCTGCAGTGGGGCTCCCTCCCTGGCATCAACCTGTGTCAGTCAGGGCAAGCGAACTGCTTAAAACAACCCCCAAATCTCAACGGCTTAGCCCTGAAACTTGCTCACGTGACAAACCACAGCGGGTGCAAGGGGGCTCTTCCCCAGTCTTTCAGATGCTCCAGCCCCTTCTGTCCTAGGGGGCGACTGCCTTTGATGTGTGATACTGATGGCCTCATGGAATGTGAGCGGAGGGGGTACCATTTGCTTACTTCCCTGATTTACAATCATTCGACCTAAAACTGTTCGACTTTATGACAGTTCAAAAGCAATACGCATTCGGTAAAAACTGTACTTTGAATTTCGATCTTTCCCCAGGCTCTGAATGTTGGTAAACACCCTCTCACGCCGCTGGGCAGCTTCTCAGAGTCACTAAAGGTGGTGGAGAGCCCGGCCTTCAGGTCCCACCAGGAGGAAAGCTGGCAGGCGTGTGGGTGAGGGGCCGCTGAATGCACAGGATGAAGCAAAAGGCGCCTTTCTTTCCTTACTATCCCCCCCGTGTCTGTGTCGCTCCATTTCGCTCACCGTGGCAGTGGGCACCTGGATGATGACTTCATTAAAATGAAATGGCGACAGGCAGAACGTAGCACTGGGGCCTCTAAGGCTGCTACATGACCGACGTGCAAAGTTCTGGCAGGTGCTCAATGTCGAGCAATAAAAGGTAGGTTCTTAAAAACAAAATGGGCCCTGGCTGGTGTGGCTCAGCTGGTCGGGCGTCATCCTGTGCGCCCAAAGGCTGCCGGTTCGATTCCGGGTCAGGGCACTTGCCTGGGTTCTGGGCTCGATCCCTGGTAGGGGGCTTGCAGCAGGCAGCCGATCGACGTTCAGCTCTCACACTGATGTCTCTCTCCCCCTCTCTCTTCCTCTCTCTCTAGAAGTCAAGTAAGATATTTTAAAAACTGTAAATGGGGATATAAAGTATAGCACAGGGACTATAGTAGATAATACAGTAATAACTATGTATGGTGTCAGATGGGTACTGGCCTTACTGGGGTGATCACTTTGTAAGTTATACAAATGTCTAATCACTATGTTGTATACCTGAAACTAAATAATATTCTTTGTCAACTGTAATTAAACAATTTATTTTAAAAAATAAATTAAAAAAATTTTATACCTAAAAAATGTATTTGTTCATCTAATAGTAATTCTAAATATTAAAGATTATTATTAGTTGTCCTGAGAGGAACAGAGTTATAAAAACTAAGCATGAATAAACCTCAGATTATTTTCAGTTCACAAAAATAAACAAACTGTTTCTGCTGAAAATAAAAATAAATGCTAGAACACTATTCTAAAGTTTGTTTGAACTTCAAAACAAAAGAAAAAACAGAACATAAGTCTTCCAGAGGGAGTCCATTAGTTAAATAGTTAAGTCTGTGGTTGGATATTTTTAGCAGCATCTTCTGATTGTTATTTATTTCAGCTGTAAGACCTGTCAAAGGCTTTTAGGGCATGAAAAATGATGTAAGTGTGACAACACGTAATTTATATAGAAAACACTCCTGGGGACACAAAGAGAATGATGTTTATAGAGGGGATCGCGGGTGACGGTAATAAATCTCACCATATTTGAGATTCATACCAATTTCCTCCGTTCAAATACTCCATTTTTACTCCACTGCTTTTTTTAAAAAAACCTTCCTGCTTTTCGGTGCTTAAAGAAGTGAAAGATTACTCATGAGAAACTGGACGACTTCAGAAAACATTATTTTTTGGGCAAACAGTTGTCTTATAGGCAAAGTATGGTACAAAGGAATATTAACAAGTCCAAATACAATTCTGCTTCCTTGTTGTGAGATGAAAGCTACGAGTGAGTATTAGAGAAACAGGACTTATTCCCAATAAGAACAAATGAGTTAATTGAGGTGCGATGAACCGAAACTGCATCAACAAACTGACTTGGAAGGTACGCGGCCACTCGATCAGAACGAACCCATGCTCCATAACGTACTGAGTTAATACGGCTTCCCTTAAGTATGAGAAGAATATTTATCTTTAAGAAAGTTTTAAAACAAGTTTACATCTCTTTGAAATTAAATATTTCAAATTCTCTATATTTTTTGGGGGGGGTTAGTTTTACTCTGTCTTTCCAAGAACTATACAGGTATCTATCTCAGTCCTCTTGTCGAATTATTTTTTTCTGGATCATGATCCAAAGATTTTGAAAAATGGAACTAAGTCTAAGGCTCAAATGGTGACTTCTCTTTCCATGCGTAGAAATTTCCTCTGCCTAATCCCAAATTCTCACATTAAGCAGCTTTAATTGTGGGGGTTTTGGTGTTATTTCCGGGTAAGGAAAAGTTTTGTAAAGCTGCCAAAGGTCAGGATGAAAGGTGGCCTCAGGCCTACTGAGACAGTACTTCTGCGCCCCGTCCAAACCGTGAGAGGATGTCACTGGGCTTTCAGGAAGAAGTTCAAACTCCTTGTCAGTAAATTTACCTTTCAGCCACATTCTGGAGCCTCCACTAAGCTGCCTCAGTCGTGCTGCGTGTGCCGGTTTCCTGCTGGGGCGCACTGATGTCAACGTGGGGTGTCCTGGAGCGTCTGCAGCCCCATCCAGTCGTCTCTGCGCCGCCAGAGGCCACTGAAGGGCGTGGGCTCCTGGTGCGCAGGTTACAACCAATCACTGTGGCAAGAGAAGAGCTTATTTACTTTTAGATATTTCCCAATAGCTAATCCAATGTTTTGCATGTCATATTTTAAAAATATGGTCAGGTAGTAGTTTGCTCTTCAAATGTTTGTGTTTCTCCGTTTTCTAAAACAGATATTTCCTCCTTATTATTTGTAGACCCAAAAACGAATGGATGGAAAACACTGAAATCTCAAGGTCAGACAGGGCTCCCGTTTCTTAGACCACGAGCTCATGCTATCAATGCTTGTAGACGATGCTTCTCTGTGACTGGAAGAGTATGAAGGACAATACACCGGCCTCGGAAGGACTCTGTGACGCGTGACTGCTGAGCCTGCCACCCCCGATGGCGTCGGGAGGAGACGGAGATGCAGCGCCGCGGTGACTGACGGCCTAGCAGGCCGCTCCATCCCGCCGAGCCCACCGTCACCCCGAGACCGTCACCAAAGACACCTCCCTCTCCGAGGCCTTACAGGACTGCGGGTGACTGGAGAAGACGACAGCGCCAGGCCAGCACCCGAGAGCCACAGGAGGAGGGAGGCGGCCTCTGGGTGAGACGGGGCGAGCAGAGCGGCGCCCAGCGCAGACTTGGGCAAGAAGTTAACCGGCGAAGACGGGGAGCCCGGGGGGGGGGATGTCTGTTCGATGATCATCTCGGTAGAACTGCGCAAATAAGACCCGGAGACAGGAAGGTTTTGCAGAGAGAGTCAGCTCCCAACACTTCTCTTTAAGGTCGGGGAGCAGTATCAAGTAAACGAATCCCCAAAACTCTTCAGGACAACTGGAAAGTCGTTCTTGGGGAGCCACAGGCTGGAGTCTGCAAGGAGAGCAAACTAAACCCAACAACCAACCATTGCCTGTGCCTTTATCTACATTTCAGAGCTAAACACTATGGTGGAAAGGCAGCTATTGGAATAAGCCCCCCCTCCGCCCTCCGTGGTTCATAGAAACTGCCCATTTTCTTGGGCACAAAGACTAAATCTCTGTTTCCACAGTCCTACACCGAGCACCTAGATTCAAGTCTCCCTGAGAGGGCAGGCCAGTGGCTCAGCCCTTGGGCTCTCACACACTCGCTTTAGCGCGAGGTTTCTCAATATGGACAATATTGATCTTTAGAAGCAAAGCTTCGCTGGGCCACGGGGCAGTTGGAGGGGCTCCCAAACCATGTACCATGCTTAGCAAAATCTCCGGTCTTTCCCCCATTAGGTGCCAGTAGTAACTCCTGGATCATCGATAATAAGAATCATCTGCAGATATTGGCACGAAGGGCTTAAGCAATAAGCAATAATGATGTATTTAGTCAATTATTACCTTCTCTGCTATATGTAATAAGCTCAGGTATAAAAGTTAAGAACGTGGCATGGACAAAATAGTCTGTAACTGTACGATGTATTTGTTTTATAGAGAAATAGCTGAAGGCTCTGATAAGCAACACAGCATCTGAGAGGTAATGTGTCGTTCTGCAGAAGCCGGGTCCAACGGCTGAATTTATCATCTCTGTTTCCTAAGCATAAACATTGGAGTACCCTCCTAAGGCTAGGAGGTATTAACTCAGGCCTCCAAAATTAAATAATTTCAATAAAACTAGATTGGTCTTCCTCACGCTGTTAGAGAAAGTAAGAGGATACCATTACGGGCACATTAACCTGTTTCACAGAGAAACTCACAGCATCACCGTGGGGCCATTCTAATCATTTATCACGATTATAAAACATAGTCCAGAGGGAAGTGTTCTCAGTTTAATGTAAGCTTGCAAATAAAAAATTATAGAACTATATGTCTTCTGTGAGGTCTTAATCTCTTTGGCTCGTTTGGGGGATGAGAGAAAGAACTGAGTGAACTGCACATATATTTTTTTTTTTTCTTATAAAAATGTAAAACACAGCCACACAATATGATGCTTTATTCTGAAATTGGACTTCCAAGCTAACGGCTATGGACTCCTTATTTTTCTGTGGACCTAGTTTCCCTTTCCTGGATGAAAAATATCTTCAGGATGGACGAAAGAATGTTGTTCTGTCTTTTGATGATATGTGAGAAAGGCCCCCCGCACCCGGTGTACGCCCTCGTGGAACACCCCTCTCATCCCGGCCACCTTCAGTCAGGTGAAGGCAGGCCCTTCATTCTCTCCTTCCTCCTGCTAGTTCTCCTAGGGATGTGTGCGGCTAACCCTGTCATTAAAACACCATATTTTCCCTGTAACGTTTGTGGGCTAGCCCTTAATATTTCCACTTTCCTCACCCTTACATTTTTCAGAAGTAATTCAAAAACTGCCTCAGGATGGTTAAAATAACCAAATACATTTTTAAAACAATTCTGTTCAGCATGAAAGAATTCACTGATTTGTTTTTATTTTAATTCTTTAGTTATAGTTATTTCCAAAAGTCCTTCTTATGCCTTTATACCATTTTATAGCTAACAAAATGTTAGATGGGTATTTTCTCATTTACTATTGAAAACGATGCCTTGTATTTTCTTTTTCTTAAGAGACAATGTCTGAATAACTATTATAGCATTGCATTGCTTTTTATAAAGAGCGGTTAAATATCGTCTTTGTCTTCTAGGTGGTCCTAGCTACTAGCTTATCCAATAATAAAAATACAAATGTACCAGCTTGTATTTATTAACATCCCAAAATTGCCAGGCACCTCTGTGGACATTTGATATATGTTAACAAACTTGGGAAATGTAGCCCCTGCAGTATTACCTTTCTCCTGCAATAATAGAGCAGAATAATTTATAATGATCATACATCATTTAGCTTGGATTAGCCTGAGAGTTTTAGCCACTTTGGTCTATAATGGATCTTAGTAACTTCATAAGAGTGGCAATTAAATGTCTTTCATTCAGAGTCTCATCATCGCTGGGCACTGCTGTCCTCTCTGCGGGTCTGTAACGAATTGAGGTTAGGGATTGATCGCTACCTAGAAAACGTGTCTGTTGTTTGGTCACGTGCTTTTTTCTGCGTGTATTGCATATGCCAGGCAGAAACAGCCATGTTTAAAAGTGACTAGAATATATGCACACAAATTACAACATGCAAACCAGTATTAGAGAACCCATGGTGGGAGCCCCAAAAGGGCAACAGGGAAGAAAAAAATACGGAAACACAGGAGGGAGGGATGTGACAGAAAGTCAGGGAGGACTTCACGGAGGTGACGGCACTGGAGACAGACATGAAAATATGGGCGGGACGTCGCGAGGTGGGAAAGAGGAAGCAGCTCTGAGACACGGTGTGAATGCGGTCGCGGGAATGAGCGTTCACAGCCAGGTTCCGGGACAGAAGGGACAGCTGCCCAGGGGCAGTTATAGGATATAAAACCCTAAAACAGAGCAGATCCTTAGTATACGGGGTCATTACAATTTTACTCCATCGACAGCGGGCAATTATGAAAAACTTCCGGCAAACGGAGTGGCATGATTGGGCGGGTGTTTTAGAGAGATAAATATCATGGTAGGAATCGACAAGCCGGTACATTTATATTTTTATTATCGGATAAACCAGTAGCGAGGACCACCTGGAAGACAAAGCCTGTATTTAACCTATCTATGTACAAAACAGCGCAATGCTATAATATTCAGACATTTTCTCTTAAGAAGAAAAAAATACAGGGCATCTTTTTCAATAATAAATGAGAAACTGCCCAGCTACAATTTTGCGAGCTATAAAATGGTATAAAGGCATAGAAGGACTTTACTGGGAATCAACTGGGCTGGGGAAGAAAACCGAAGAAAGGTGACAATTAGTAGGTGATACTTTGATAGACTTCGGACTTAACCAGACAAAGGAGTCACACCTGTGCTACGGGAGAGCCTTGCGCACGACATGTGACAAGGACCCGGCCCCCATGCCCGGGATCCGGCCTCTGCCGGGGGAGCCTCCTGTTGGCTTCTGCTCTGGGTCCGGGAGCCTGAGTTTCCCCCGACCGCCAGCTCTGCAGAGGGACAGGCTTAATGGGCGAAGGAGCCGTACAGCGCACCTAAGTGACAAATGGAAGCATCACGCAGTCACTGCGAGCCGGGCCCGAGACACAGTTCAGCTACTTAGAGACATAAAAGCCTTCTGCAGGGAAAGGGGCGCAGCCACCGCCACTCAGATTCTGGCGGCAGAGGCTGGGCTGCGGGGAGCTCTGCCTGGGCCAGAAAGAAGATCTGGGCCCGGAATTCATTTCCAGGGATAATTTGAGCCTCGGAAGGGGAGTTTTCTCTTTCAAAAGTGTCGAGAGCATAAATAAGCCCTTCAGCGTCCACCAGCTGCACCCCGGTGCCGCGAGGGAGACATTCGGCAGCTGGGAGCGCGAAGGCCTGTTTATCGGAGATCAGTCACCAGCCCGGTCCTCCAAGAGCCCGGCAGCTGGCCAGAGCCGAGAGGAAGGCGAGGTCTCCTTCGGGGAAACTGATGGCACGTGGTGGGGAAGGTGGGGGGCCTGCGTTAACATGCCTGAAATGCCTTGTCATGCCTGCGATTTCACCAGCTGAGGACACACATTAAGCGTGAATCCAATCAGTGCCCTGCGCTCATTTCATTTCAGCGTCTAAGTAAGAAAAAAGGAAAGAGCATACAACGGTGACATTTTAACTCAAAAATCAATAATTAAAGGACATACGGGGGAGCCTTTCTAGCCCAGGACATGTTTTCAGATGTCTTTTCAAACACTTTCCTTGTTCCTGAGAACTGAAGGATGTTGTGGGAAACAAAGGTTCCCACTTGGAGGCTTCGGTTCCGGTTCCCGCCTGGACGTGGCCTCCAGGACAGGGGGAGGGGGTGTCACGGCCATCGAGCCCCAAGTCTCCCTGCCTGAGCCTTCCTGCCTTTTCATCCCGAGCCCGAGAGCACTGGGCCACTGTATTGATCACCCAGCCTCCGTCAACAGCCTTTCCCAGGACTTAACCGCAGATTGTAGCAATGCGGAGAAAATGGTATTTTCAATACCAGGTCAATGTAGGGTGCGATTGTGGAAGTCATTTCTCACGACGTACACGACATTGGGAAGCTC